TTGGCGGCGGCCGGCGCTGCCTCCGGCTGGGCGGGAGCGGGCAGAGGCAGGGACGTCTGGGGTGGGGGGAAATGGGCCGGCGGTGGCTTGGCCGGCGGAGGGATGGAGGGGACCTGGCCGGACTGCCCCGTCTGAGATGGGGAGGCCTGGGAGGGGAGCAGGTAGGGCTGGGGGTGCGCCATGTATCCCTGGGAGGGAGGCGGCAGGTAGGGCTGAGAGGCGGAGGACGGCGGGGGCTCCAGGTAGGAAGGAGGGGGCTCGGAGAAGGAGGGGGGCGGCTGGGAGGCCTGCGCCCGGGACAGGTAGGGCTGGAGCGGCGGGGACTGGGCCGGGGGTAGCTGTGCGGGGGGCAGGTACGGCTCCGCCTGAGGGTGCGGCAGGTAGGTCTGGGCGGGGGGCAGGTAGGCCTGGGCGGTGGGCTGTGGGGACTGAGGCGGCGAGGACAGCTCCATGTCCATGGGCACCGGCGAGGAGGGCACTGGCTCGCCCCAGTCGCCGTGCCCGCCCGGCGCTTCCTGGACATCGCGCTCCCGGCCGGCAGCGGGCGGCTTGCGAGTCGACGGCGGCGGGTCGCGGTGGGCGAACTGCTTCTGGTAGCTGCGGACCGGAGGTGGCACGGGCGGCGGCGGCTGCTGCCAGTCGCTGAAGGAGCCGGGCAGCGGCGGCGGCGGCAGCCCCGGAGGGGGCGGCCCCGGCGGCGGCGGCGGCCCCAGCAGCACGGACTGCAGCTGCTTCTGGTGCATCTGCTGAAGCTGCTGCAGCTGCGCCAGGTGCTGCTCCTGCAGGCTCAGGAACCCCGAGGTACCGGCGGGCGGAGGCGGAGGGGCGGCGGCGGCAGGCGCGGGGCCCGGCGGCGGGTAGCTGGGCAGCGGCATCGGTGGGACGGTGGGAGGCGGCACGCTGGGAGGAGGGATGGGCAGCGGCGGGGGCGGGATGGAGGTAGGCGGCGGCGGGTAATGCCCCGCCGCCCCGTACAAGCCCCAGGCCGGGTACATGGCGGGGCCGCGGCGGAGGGACCGGAGCGCGGCGCTTCCACAGGCCGCGGCGGCGGCGGCGCGTGCAGCCCACGGCGCCTGCGCGGAGAGGCGCACCGCCCTCCTGGACAGTAGAGCACGAGAGAGGAGACAGAGTGTCGAACAGCGCCCTTGCCCGGGGAGCTCGGCGCCTGCAGCGCGCCGCCTAGCGGGCAGCTGCTGTCCTGGCGGGAAGTCTTCTGTCACTGTCGGGAGGACTCGAACCGTGCGGCGGGGCGTAGAGAGACGGGAGGGGGGGGTGGAGCCTAGCGCGCCGCTCTCCGCCTGGCCCGGTAGGCTCGCACGAGAGCAGGCAGACAACGCAGGGAGCGGAGCCCGGGCGGGGGGTCCTTTTTGTGTAGGGGAACGATTAGCTGGCGGGTGCCGCCGGGTCCTGCCACGGACCCGCAAGCAAGGCTGCGGTGTACGGGTGATCCGGACGCGGTGGCATCCCGCAGGCCGTGGTGCTGCCGGGCAGCGCCGCCGCTGTCCTCGGTTACCCGGGCGGCGCTGGCGGCCATGTTTCCGCGCCTGCCCGCCACTCCCGTCAGCGGTTGTACCTCTGCCTGCGGGCAGCGATGACCCGAAACAGAGGTGGTTCATTGTGGTGATCGAAGGGTGATGTGAGGGCAAGCGAAAGTCCAGCCGCGCTAGGCCTGGGGAAAGGCGCACAAAGAGGCAACCTGGTTTAGTGGAAGGTGGCCAAGGGGGTTAGGACTAGATGAGCTTTAAGGTCCCTTTCAGCCCAAGCCATTCTATGGTTCTATGAAACTACCTCACACATTACAGAAGTAACTGCACTGAGGAGCAGGAAAGGTTGCTTTTTTCCTCCCTTGTGTTTCTCTCTTCCCACACTGAAGTGTAAATTAAACATACAAGTATGTTCTGTAGCCAGTCAGCAAAGATTGATGCAAAGTGCTTAATTCCCATTGCTGAATAAAGACACAATGTCTTGTGCGTGTGAATTCTAGTTGCTGGGCAGCAAAGCCTAGTGGCTACTGTTCTGGTCAGCAGTTCACCGGCACTGGTGGTGTGCCACTGCTTGCCCTCATTACCACATACAGAAAACCTCAGCAATTTTTGTCATGTTCAATCTCTAGTTCATGGCTGGTGAATCACGCAGCCATGGCTGGTGGAGAAAGACAGGTATTGAGGAAAAGTCCACAGCCTTTTCAGTCAGGAGAAAAGTCAGAAAAACACACATGCAAAAAAAGTTAGGTAAAGCAAAAGCTTTGTCCTCTCCATTGGAAAAGCTGGAGCTTGTGTTAATTTGTTGATAAATTCCAGGGAATCCACAGCGATGGATTAAACCATAAACCTGTAAGAAGAAGTTTGAGTAGAGTGTGAACTCAAGTTATGAGATGCTAATCTTTAAGAAAAAAAATAATACATAGAATTTTCCTTCAGTATCCTTTCCTTTCTCCTAGAGGTGATTATTTATCTGTTTCTGTCTGGGGTGGTGCTCCTCTAAGATTTTTCTTGCAGTGAACATGACTTGCAGATAGCGTAAGCACTTTAGCTTCCATCTCCTCCACATTGTACACATACTTAACATTTATATCTCTGAACTCTTTGGGTCAATTTACTCACTCACTAAGCTTTCAAAAGTCTGTTGTTCCAAAATAGGGAATTCCTGTTGAAAACATCCTTTGATTTACCCTTCTGATCACCTCACTTGGAGTTCTTATGTAATTGGTTTACTCAAGGTTACTTCCTGCAGGCGGGTCTCTCCCAATATTCCTGCTGTTTGTTGTGGTTACTCAATATTGTGAAGAAACCCGTTATTCGCCATATGAAGAAACACATGTACTCAATCATCTTCAGTAGCAATTGTTTTCCAGCCTACATCAAGGAGGTCAAAGTGTAACTTCCAAGTAACTTCACGGATGCTGTTGCCAATACCTGGATCTGGTTAGGGCAGCAGCAGACTTGACTCCTGCCAGCCAAGATACTTTGTCTTTCCCAATGTTACTTTGTCCTAAAGCAACCCTGTCAAGTTCACATTACGCCTTCTTATTCTTTTACAGTGTAACATTAATGTACATCATCATGCTGGGTTTAGCTCCCATTTTTAATAGCTCGTGCTATTTCTGCTTCTAAATGCTATTCTACCACATTTCAGTTATCCCTTTACTAGTGTCACACCTTGGATCAGCAGCTTAAGTTTCTTCACGTCATTTGGTGGTAACACTGCAGTATGTTTCTTCACGTCATTTGGTGGTAACACTGCAGTATCTTGGGCTTTCTGGTGGCCCCCAGAAAGGAGCAGAAACTATTTTCTCCCATTCTTTGCGTAACTTCAGACCTCCTTTTGTGGCTTTTCTGTTTGTTCTCTGTCTTCTGGAAATATGGAAACTGGCTACAGCAAGAGACAGGATGTTAGGGAGGAGGCTGGATTCCCTAGAGTTACTGAGAAACATTGCAGGCATCTGTTTGATATCTAACTTGTACGCAGGTTTAAAACAACTGCCAAAGTTAGGTCAGGAAGGAATTTTCTTCTGGTTTGGACTGGCAGAGTTTTGCATTCATAGGAACATGAAAACATTCTTGCTTACAATAGTCTTTCCTGTCATAATGATCTTTTCTCCTTTAACACACTGTAAACTGGATCTGAGGTTGGGATGCCATGGTGTGTATGGCGTAAACATTTTCCTCTGAACCAAGTGTCTGGTACATAGGTTCCCTGAGACTGCAGGGGCTGCAGCTGATTACTCAGATGGTCCTTTCCTGTTCTGACTAAGCTCTTTCAGTTAATAGCCACATTTTTCTTGTCTTGGTGACTACATTTAGTTAATAAAAATTTCTTGATGAGTTTGCTCACTGTCAACACTTTCTCCCTGCTGCTCATCCTCCAACCCTCTTAAAACTTCTTCAGCAATTCCCTTATGCCTATTCCAGGTTCTTCCTCCTGTTACTAGAACTAGGCAGACTACAAGGAACATTAATTTAAGCAGTAAAAAACTTCACTAAATGGGCACATTTATTTTGAGTTTATACCACACAGTTTATACCGTCTTCCTGGCTGGAGGTGGAGAAGACAAACTTCAGTTGTGACAGCTTGGAAAGGGCTATGTTTTGAAAGTGCTAGTATGCTGTTATTTCAGGGATGAGTTGGGTTATTTCAGGGATGTTTAGTAGGTAAGCCTACAGCAAGCAAAAAGATAGTACAAGGGCTAAGTCTGATGTGTTCCCAAAGTTTCCTGCAATATCTGTAGCAGCAAGGTGCTAGCAAGGTTATTAGCATGTCAGGGCATTTCCCAAGGACAGGAAATGATTAGCAGAGGAAGGGTATTATCTTGCTTGTATGCTGTCCAGCATACAGCCAGCTGAGTTCAGCTATTCTCTACAAAAGCCAAACCAGTGCAAGACACCACAGATAAAGTCTGTATATTTTCTTAATTACACCAAGAATATAAATTTTCAGTTTCCCTCCTTACTATACCTTTACCCCAGCATTTTGTTCAGGAAGCACACTTCAGCTTGTTGGCCCCTGGTGACTCTCCTATTGTGTCTTGTCTCTCAGTTTTCTCACCACACAGCAGAGATCAGAAGAGCAAATTATGTCACTAAAAATTAAATAGTGTCGGAGAAGATACGAGAATGCAGAGTTACGGCTTTAAAATATTTTCCCCTGCATTTCTCCAAGTGGCTTAACTATCTCTTTTTCCTCCCTCCTCTGACCACTTCCTTCCCTGCAGTCTTTGCTGCACGTCTGAGACTCCTGATCTGCAGCCATTGCTCCAATTTCCCCCACTGACTCTTCTCCCAGCCCACATTAATACCTTTCTCAGGTTGACACCTTCCTGTCACAGTTTGATACCTTCCTCCTCTTCCCTGACACCTACCAAAAAGCGATAAGGCTTTTAGGTGGATAGGGACCAATCAAACCAGAGAGATCTGACCCAACCCTACTGTCTTGTCACCAGACCGCATGTAAGCAAAAGGACTGACTGGGCTGCCAGCTAACCCAATACAGACACGGAAATCTGACTGAGCAGGACACTGAACCAAACTTCATTCATTGTACAGCTGAATTAAATCCCTCCAATTCTGAATTAAAATCTTCTAGACCACTAGAAGGAGGCATGACAATGGGTGCAGATTTGATGTCTCTTCTCCAGAAGAATAATTTTCCTGCTGTAGGTACAGCATTCTCAGCCAGACTTGCAACAGTAATACTTAATTTGGAATGTAGAAATCACTTTTTCTATTGATGCCAGTGAAGAGGATGTGAGGCATGTTCTGGGCACTGCCGTGCTCTGTTTTCCATATGCTTCTCCGAGCCATAGGTAATCAGTCCAAGTCAGAACAAGGATGAATAAAACCAGACTCTTCCAAGTAGCTTTTTCTTAGAAGATCAAGGATATGAAGTCAGGCCAATGTCACCCACAGTCCTATGAGTAGAGTCCCAGTAAAAAAGAAAGCAGGAGGCTTGGAATCAGAAGAACCTTTATCCTTGCTTACAGCCCTGACTTTGATGGCTTGGCTGGACAGGTTAGAAGCGAGGAGCTCCGTAATCATCTGGCATCCTCTCAATATTGTATCTGAGAAAGAAAGAGAGAAAAGTTATGAAGACAATCTACTCCATATTGCTCCCCTCCCAGTGAAGCAATAGGCTTCCAGTCAGACTGAACCGCAAGCAGCTTTGTTGCATTTCCACCTGTAGCTCAGATCTGCAAGAAGAAAAGTATTACTTCAAAAAGTGAAAAGCCTTCATAAGGTTGCTGTTACCCTTCACCTTACACTCAGAAACGGGCATCTCAAAAACTCAATTGTCTCCAGGTAAAAAATAGTAGTTTTGTAAGATCTGACAGGATTTAAGAACAACTACCACAGAGAATAAAACTTCGGCCACTCCACTTACAATTCATGGCCACAGTGAGTAAGGGGCAAAGATGTTTTGAGGGAAAAACCTTCTGAGCCATGTTCTAATTATGGATCAGTTAGGACTGTGCATATTGATTGCTAGCAATCAACCTCCTCAATTTCTGACATACCACTGGCTCTGCATATCACTAGACTCATTGTCTCCACTGCGAGCACAACTGCCTCTTTTCCAGTATCTCTCCCATCTCATCTAAAGACTTTGGCCTTTTTATCCCCACATCCTGACCTCTCCTTACCATGCTACCAAACATATCTACCATAGTGTTAAACAATTTGGCACAGGTTCAATGCAATCTAAATCTTCTGGGCTGTACATTATGTAGAAAAAAATATTAAAACACTATATGACAAAGGTGAGTAAAGTCTTCTTAGACAGTTTAGGTTTTACAAGTGCTTTGGAAGGGACAGGGAAATAATTTAAGCAAATGTTTTTACAGCATATTTTGTTTGCATATGAAAAAAAAAAAAAGTGAGCCAGTACTTGCAGATACTGGAAAAATCCATGGTATTGAAATTGCTGCACTAGTATCCTTCTCAGTTGTTTTTTTTTTTAGCTAAGAAGCAAATTAAATCTTACCTAAGGGTACAAAAACCTACCAAACAGGATATGGAAGAAGAATGTTAGTCTATTTTTCCCAAACAGCCTTTAGAATGCATTTGCCTAGTAGTCCTCCTGCTGCTGCTGGTAAGCAAAACTGACCTATAAGAACACTGGCCTAAAGGAAACTATAATTTTCCAAGTAAAAGCAACTGAATATGTGGCTGCAATAAAAGTAGGTCTGTGACCAGTCTATTTCCAGCAGCAGCTGTACTTCTACTTTTGTGCAAACACTAGGGCCTTGACTGTAAGACAGTGCAGGAGAAAAGTATGTGGTGGTAGAGTCCCTGCCAGGCAAGGACTGCCCTTACCTGTGCCTGGAAATGTACATTATAGGCACGCCTGGGATTTTTCGTATTCTCCGCTTGAGCTCTTTATCCACTGTGGCCACAATGTAGCACTTGTGCTGGAAAAAAAAAAAAAAAAGGAAGTTAGATTCCACACCAGTGAACCTGCAGAAAGGAAGACAGTCGAGCAAAAGATTCTATTCAGTGAGCTCATTTAACACAGGAGGGCTACCAGTCCTGCCCAAGAGAGGTATTACTAGGACTTGTACAGAATTCCACAGCAGACTACTAATACCCTTCTGCTTATCAAAATAGACTTGTAGAAACATCCAAAGCCTGTCCAGCCTTCCAACCTGATAGTTTTCCTATCCCAAGGGCTTCTTGGTGCTGTCCTACACAATAAGAATACAGAGAGAAGGCTCTAATTTGCTTAAAATAAAATTGCACTAGGAACAGAAACTGCCCCTTAGTGAGATTTTAGTTACTTTGTTGGAAATTTAAGTCATCAGTAACTAGAAGGGTTTTAGTATGTTAGCACAGTATAGGAATTATCAGAAACAGAAATACCTGAGTGACCCTCTGTACCAAGCAGTCATCTGCATAGGTTCCTTTGTGCATACATGGCAAGCGTTCAAACCGAGGGTCCTTGGCAATTCTGTGGGGACATATAAGGCAGCATCACAGTAATCAGACCAGACTGTACAGTAACACAGTACGAAGGAACAGGAATGCCACTTTCTGCGATGTATAGCAGATTATTCTCAAAACGAGGGCTGAGGGGATGGAGCAAATGGTACACAACTGAAATGAGGAGAAAAAAAAAAGTAATTTGACTGGCTAATTATTATAGGTTAAGTATTTCTTAGTACTTATCAGCTGGATCAAAGATCCCTACACTGTTAGGCTCTTGCCTAACAAAGTCATTTGAAACAAGTTATCTGTGGGAAGAACTAGAACTCCTTCCGGTGCCTGATTGTTAGTACCACGCATATAGGAACCTCCTCTCAGAAGGGAATAGCAGAGCTGTTAAGGAGATGCATTCAGATACTTGACAACACAACAGGCCAAAATAAAAAGTAAGTAACAGTACATCCGACTGCTACACCTGGAAAGCAAGAACTACATTGGATTAGTTTTGTACACATCACACAATAACCTAGCTCTAGATTAGTACCATGCTACCTACTCCTACAGAGTAACATGGGAAGGGAATGCAAGGTTCCATAACATGTGTCACTTCTTTATCTCTTTTTAGGAAAAAAATAAAAAAACCCAAAACTTTTTTAAAAACTCCCTGTGTGTTTTGAGAAACAGGAGGAAGTGTTAACTTTGAAAGTCTTGGAGGAGGGAGATGTACAGGTCAATATGGTGTACCCATACCTAGCATTTAGGTTTTTTGAGTTTCTTTTAAATAAAAACTCAAGCTGTTGTACTGATCTCATACAGCCAGAGAAATAAACGAAGCCTGGAACCCTGCAACAACCTAACCATCCTCTAATGCAAGAGCACTGTCATGGAAAGTGTTTATTGATATTAAAACATTAAATTCTAGAAACAGAGAAGAACACCTTGCACCTACCTTAATGCCACACGGTACTTTTGTCCTAACTTCTCAATTTCACCCATTACACAATCTGTGATACATGGAATACCTGCATGCAAAATACCCTGTATTAAAACCAAGCAGTGTTTCTTCACAGACCTCTACTTATTGCCCACGTGCCCAGGAACTATCATGGAACTCTGTAACATACTACTTACAGTTTTAAACTTATGAAAACTGATAAGGTTGCAAAGTGGTGAAGTGCAGAGCTATTGAGTTTGACCATGCCATGGTAATTTTAGATTTTTAACTTACTAATGCTTTACCTTTGTTGAGATTAGCATTTAAGACCATCATCTGACTGAAACCAGAGACAGTTCCAGGGTTACCATAGCCACAAACAAGGAGCATGATAATTACAACACATAACTTTTTTCAAGACTCCTGTTATTCTCAGCTAGTGGCATGAGTCTGATAAAGCACATCATGAGCACAGTGTGAAACAACATGGTGACACGGACACTCACACTTGGCATAAAGACAATCCATCATTGACTGCACCAGGTCCAGCTTGGCCTTGATGGAGAAGTTGATGAAGTTTGTGTCAACCAGGATGTGATAAGGCGGCCCCAACTGTGTATTATATTGGAAGAACAAGCAAGAGGGATGCTGTGGGCTGCCAGGAAGACAAAGAATTGAATCAGTTTATTACAGTTGACAAGATGTCCAATCCTACAACTTGCACTGAATGAAAGAAGGGTAGCGAGCAGAAACAAAAGAAGGCAGGATGGGATGGCAACCCGTAAATTGTTACACTGCCTCCCAGGCTTGACCCCTTGGTTTGGGCCACCATTTCCTACTCTAGCAACTTGGCTGCAGACTGCAGCATGGCCTGCCAGCCCGCCCTCCCCAGAGAGTCGCCAGCACTTACACCTCCCGCTCCTTGATGGCACTCGGGTCCTCCTTCTTCTTCACGCGGGCTTTCGCCCGCTCCTTCTCGTTGCTGCAAGGAAACACAGACACTCCTGGAGAGGGCAGCCAGTGTCAGAGGGGCCTGGGCCGGAATCCCCTTTCTCCCTCCCGGGACACAGAGACAGCTAGCCCCACACGGGACCGGGCCCCGCCGCAACCGCACTCACATGCGCTGGTCCCGGAGGCTGATCATGCGTTTCATGACCGCGTACTTCCGCGCCTTCTTCTGCTTCCCCTGCAACGAGACAGACAGGCAGCCACACTTAGCCGGGACCCCTTAGTCTCTCAACCCGAGACCCCGCGCCCAACGCCCGGCTCACCATGCTGCGGCCGCCGCTACCCCGCTGCTTCCGGTGCCATCCCGTCGCGTCACCGCGCTCCGCCCCGCCGGGATGCTCCGGGAGTGCCGTCACTTCCGGCCGGCAGCACCGGGCGGCGGGAGTCTGCGCCGGTCGCGCACAAGAGCGGGCAGCGTTGCGGCTGCCGCCGGAGCCCTCGGTAACGGTGCTCCCTGTCCCGTCCGCGTCTCGGGGAGGGATGGGGGGCGCTCCGGCTGTGAGAGCGGGGCTCCCGGGCCGAAGAAGCTGCAGCCGCAGCGCGGCCGCCCCGCAGGGTCGGGCGTCCCCCCTGGGGTGGCGGCCGGCGCGGCCTGGCCCGGCCGCGGGTGCCCCCGCGGCCGGCCCGGGGCGCCCGTGCTGGAGATCGCCCTGCCGCTGCCCCGGCAGGCCTAGTGCAGCTGCGGCGAGGGTCCCCGCTCTGCCGGCGGCGGGTGGCCACCCTCGGAGGGCCACGGCGGGGCCGGTGCTCCCGGTGAGCAGAGAGCTGGTGCTGGCCATCCGCGGTGTGAAGCGCGGTGGTCTCCGCGTTCTCTTGGTTCGGTCGAGCCGTTTGCTGTCGCTGTGTCGGTGGCAGGTCGCGGGGGCTGGCGCCTGGGGAGGCCGTGGGGTGCGTTGGCACCAGCTGATGCAAGCGCGGGGAGCCCAGATCACACCGATCGCCCTTCTCCCCTCCGTTTCTGTTCACGGGGCTGGGAGATTACAGAGGCGGTCAGCCGCTTTCAGAAGCTTGCTGGGCTGGCATGATTTGAAGAAGTGATGTAGTGCTGGCTTTTCTGTGCTCTGGCTGGTGGATGCCTACATTAAAAGCAATGCGTTGTCATCCGTAGATCTTGACAGCAGCTGTGACAAGTAGGCACGTTTTCAGCAGTGATTTCTGCAACTGTAATGGTGTAGTTTGTCCCAAAATATCTTTTCTGCACATGTAAGGGAACATTCTCCAAGTTCTCAGACGAGTCCGAGAACCTTGGTTTCTAGTGCCCTGCGCTGAAGGTGAAAGAGAAGCCACCCTGTTATCTTTCTTGTGTAAGATTTTGAGATTAGTGAGAACTTGTAGCTGTGGGTATCTTCCAAATGCAACCACTTTTATTTGGTGTCCTGGTCAGAAAAAGCAGCTATGCAGCCAGTGAGGTATTATGCAGGAGTGTTCTTCCTGAAGCACTGCCCTCAATAGAACTATGACTGAGGCTCTGATAAGGAGGAGGAAAACTAGACTGAAAAGAGAACTGGGTTTGTTAGCGAAACCACAGCTGAACTGGTGATTGTACCAGGCTTAATTGTTTGTTGGGGACACACGGTGTGGCTTCTCTGATGCTGCTTAAGTGACCCAAATGGTTTGGGTGAAGGCAATAATTGAGGAGGAAAGGGATGATCTGCTTTCCCCATGGGTGGCAAGAGGCTGAATGTTGTTCTGGCTTAGGTAGCTGATCTGATGTCAAGATGAGGCTTGCCTGAAAGTTACCACCTGGCTGTCTTGCTGTGTTTGAGAAGGACAGGGAGAACTGACAGCCCTGATGGCAGTTCTGTTTTGATTATAAGTCCTTAGACCAAGGCGGTTGGCAAAAGTCTCCTGTGTTGTAGTTGGTTTTTTTTTCATGTTCCCACGATTTTACTTGGCTTGTGTGTAAACGTGTATGACAAAATTCCAGCCCTGGTGAGAGAATGACTGTTTTGTATGGACACTGGCCATTGATGTGGCTTTTGTCCTTGACAGCTGATACTGGAGCCTGCTCAGTGCTTTCTGTGCTGACTTTTTAGTCCTCTGTGGGTATATTTTAAAGCTAGGTTCCCATGGGCATTCCTGTTTGTTGGTTTGTGCGTGCTTTACTTAGTGTGAGAAAATACTGTGCCTTCTCACTCAAAAGAGACTTGCCCTGTGCATGGCATGAGATGCATATGCCATTGGTGGTGGACATTTGTGTGCATGGATTGAGAGGACATTCCGTATAGGGATGAAGAGTTCTGTCATCTTAGGTGGATGAGAGGTTTTTAATCCCTCTTTCTTCTTAATTTTTGGAATTTGTCAGGGCAAAGAAGAAAGGAAGTTAAATTTATCAGTGCACCAAAAAAACCCATGACACACAACAGATTTCCTAGGACCTCAGAAGATCAGTTCTGTATAGCATGCCCCCAACTGGCTTTGTAGTTGTAGCCACATGAATGTGCCATTACTGTGTTATAGTTCCTTTTGTATGTGCAGCTATGCCTGTTCTTTCTTCTGGAGATTTGCACTGTGTTCCTCTGGCTTCACAGCAGCAGTAATAGGAACAAAATGTATTCCCATTACTGGCCTTCCTTTCCTTGCTGACTTGAGAGAAACGATGATGCTAATATAGTTTATGATTCCTTGCTGTCTATCCTGATTAGGCCAGTACTTCTTGAGTCAAACCAAGGTGAAGCTTTCCAAATCCCTCTTTTCCCTGCAGGTGGCAGGAGACCATTGCTTGCTCTGTCCTTGGATCAAGATCACTGAGACCTGTCAGATAATTCAGCATTATTTTTCTGTTCTAGCAAAAATGGCACCTTATATGGCTAATGTTCAGAATTAGTTTCCCAGATGGTTAGCTTGCAGTTCGTAGCGCAGATGCTATTTTAATTTAGATCTGCATTCTAATAAGTGAACGGCAACGTATCTTGGACATCAGCTACTCGCAGCATGGTTCTTTACCCCAATGTATCCAGCTGCAAAAGCATCCTTAAAGTTGCTGGCAGTGTGTATGCTAGAAGAAAGTTGATTGTAAGACAGTCACTTCATCTCTGGTGACCACCTGACTTTGTATCTTGTTTATCACTTCACGCAGAGATAATAAAATGACAAGTTGCTATGCCATTTGAGGGAGGTAACTCCTTCACTGTGTCCAGTGAGCTCTGAAATTTTGCAATCCACATCAAGAGACTGAGGCTTCAATTGACTTAAAAACCCTTGTAGTTGAAATGATGGGCCTTTCTCTTTTTGTACTTTTAGGAGAGATGCCAGGTGACTTGTGGTGTGCTTTACAGAAAGTAAAGAGTTACGGACTGAAGCAGAAATAGCTTGGGTAGATGAACGCACAGGGCCAGTTTTGTGTTGACTTTTTTTTGGTGACACAAAGAGACTGGTTCTGTAAGATGCTGGAGGGACATCTTATAGATTCCCAAAGGTTGATAAGTTCCCGTGAAATTCCTCAGCTGTGTGGAGAAAAGACATAGACCTTCCACAGCCAGGCCAAGCTGGAGCAGAGTTTTGACTAGGCATTTGTAGAACATCTTGGATATGTACTGTGGAAGAATTAAAATATCAAGGAAATTGCTAGGTCAGTGATTCTCCTACAGAGGTAGGAGTTTAGAAACCTGAAGCTTCGCTTAGGAGGAGAATGAGAACTTTGGCATGGGGACTGCATTGCTGTTCGCTCAAGCAGAGGAATGAAGAAAATGTCTAAGTGGGTGGGATTTTCCTTGAGATGTGAATGAAGAAAAGACAGTGAGAGTCTGGCTGCTCCTGCAACACAGTCAAAGAGCTCTGCACAGACTTACCTATTGGTTCTCACATGTGTTAGAAAGCTCAGTGGAAGTGTGCAAAGGCAGCCAGGTCTGTATGATTATTGGGATGGAAGAAAGTAGGAGAGATGTGAAGAGGAAGGTAGATGAGGGGCAAGTAAGGAGGAAGTGGCAGCTGAGGCAGTGGTATGGCAAGCAGAAGGAGCACATTGCTTACATCCCCGTAAGAGGTGACTGTCTTTACAGATAGCTGCTGTGGTGAGCCTGGGTCTGTTCATGTCATTCTCATTCTTTTACGTAATTTGTGTTCTCAATGATACTGACTCTGTAGGCTCTGTGGCTTTTCTTCTTGCATATGTCCTGGGTTTTGTGGGCTGCATCAATCCTTCCTGTTAGGTTTTTATTATTTTTACCTCAGTCCTGACAGTAAACTGTAATTGAGTGGACAGTGCTCCTGAAACTGAAATGCCTTGTGAGGACAGTGGTTTCCTGAATACCTAAAACCACAACAGGTGGTGGGAAAAAAACCCATGAGCCCAATGAAACCTATGAAGCAAGGACGTGTTTTGTTCTGTCTTGAACCTGCTGGTTTCAGGGTGTCATAAAGAAATGAGATTGTTGACAGGTGAAGGTTGAGGATGTGGGGCACCCTAACACCTCATCATCAAGTGATACCTTTCCTATTGATTCGACATCTAGCAACGCTCGTGCATCTTACACCTGTCACATGTTTCTACTTGCTAGATTTGTCCACAGCAGTGGGGCAATCTAACTTTTCTCTCCCCTTTTTTTCCTTTTCAAGGGAAGCTAGCAAACAACAGCCTACAGGGAGCAGCATTGCAGGGCAACACTTTTCCACAAAGAGGAAGAAATTGCTGTGCTCAGGTCCCCACCTTTCAGCAGTGATCTGTGATGCAAGTTCCAGGAGTTTCTCTTTCTATGACAATCTTCCCTATGGCCATTTCTTGCTGATGTTTGCCCCAGTGTTGGGCACAAGGAGGAAGGATGCTGAAGAATGGGTCCTCCACTTTTGGCTTTTAGAACATGGGTACTTGTGTAAAGGTATGTGGTTGCTCTTTGTTTGCAGGATGGAATATCTATGGAGGCCAGCAAACGGGGTTTGCTGGTCTGGGAAGTCATGGCTATTGCTGGGGGGAAATATCTCATTTGAGCTTTCTGCATGCTGATGTCTGTTGCTGCTGCTGTTGAGATGACTGACAAATAACTTCCCTTTTGTGTTTGTTTAAAAAAAAAAAGAAAAAGCAGCTTGAATGCACAATGTAGCTTCTTACTAACTGAATGGTGACATGGCGAGCTATATTGTGTGCATTAGTGTATGCCAGGCTGTCTAATTGTCACACACGTTCCTTGCTGCTATCTGTGTCTTATCAGCCAGACAGCATGTTGTTGTTCTGGGTGCGGTCTGTTTACTACATGTTTATTTAGCAGCCTTC